GGCCAGCGCTAGTGGTGCTGAAAGGCGCTGGCGGCGGCGCTTAAATAGGACTATTGCCATGTGATGGGCTACGCCAGGAGCGCCCGGGGCCTCTCAATAGGGTTTTTGTGCCTTTTCTCTTGGCATTCACTCTGCACGCTTCCTCATTATTTCACTTGTTAACTAAATGAACTGCATAATGTACTCTATTCTTGTCAACCCCACCCACGCCGTAACAGGCGCCCTCGGCCCCTCCTCTCCCTTTTGCGGGTTTATTTTCTCATTCTCCCGCGATTTAATATTCTTTTCTTTCTCTTTATTCCTTACTCCCCTTTGGCTTTGCATTGGTGATCGGCCCATTTATCTTATTGATTTTGCACCCCGCCGCCGCCTCTCATCCACAGATCTTCAAGGGCGCACCCCCCCAGTCCTGGCCCCCGCCTTTTCTTTAACCCCCCCTTCCAGTCGGTTCTCCCGGCTCAACTCTCTCCCGCGAGCGTCCCTCCAGCCGGCCTCGGATTTCCACCTGTGGAATCCCTTCTTCTCTCCCCGAGTTGGAAGCAGGAGCACCGGGGTTCTTGCGGGGAGTAGGCGCCTTCGAAGCGGGAGAATAAGGGCTCAATATTTCTCCGCGGGCGCAAGCCCCACCTTTGCAGTCTGTTTCTCAAACGGTTTTAACTTTACTGCTGCCTCCACGCCCAGCCTTTGTTCGGCAGACCCTGGCCAACCAGTCATTTTCTTCGAGCAACAGCGCCGTGGAGGTTTCAAAAGAGAGAGAAAGTAAAGAAAGAAGAGGAATGTAGTCGTTGAGAGTCACCACAGAGCCAAGGGATGGGGAAATGAGAGCCTAGACCGTGCACACTGAGATCTCACATCCCATCACCAGTGGCGAGCGTGGGCCAGCTCTACCCGCGCGGATCTTGCGGGCATCTTCTCCACGCGCGCGCACCCACAGGTGGCTTGGAAACCATTGCCTTCCCACAGTTGGGAGCGGAGCCAGAGCACTTATCTGCCTTCGCCCACCCTGACTGGGCTCCCCTTTGCCCAGGACCCCACTCCTTCCTCCCGTCGCTTCACTCGCTTCTTTCTGGTCACACAAAGGTTAAACAACTTCAAACGCTCTGAGCTTTGTACCCAGCCTCAGCTTTTAAAATCTTCCTTGGGCTCAAAGCTGTTTCCTCTAGGAGCTTTTTCTATACAATGGGAAATTAGCATAAATATTTCGAATGTACAGCCCGGTGACTTTTCGCCGGAGACATTTACTTTCGATTTTATTGGAACCAAATCGCTGTAGTCACTTGCGCTGAGCCCTGAAAGGAATTGTGAGAAATGAGGAGGAAGCTTTCGAAGGGGGTGGGGATAAGAGCGCAGGAAAAAGGCTGCCCAAATCCTAAGCGTGTGCATGGGGTTTTAAGCGCTCATGGTATCTTTGTATTAACAACAGAAACAAATTACAACTGTTTAGAAAGCAAAGAGAGTTTGTTGTAAAGAAGGTGAGGGAGATCCTGCTTCCATTAAAGGGCAATGGAGGGAAGCAAGCTAGCAGGAGGAAGGGTTCAAGGTTTCCTTGACTGCTTGGCAAGGGGTACCTCCCTCGCCTAGGCCTCGGCCCCACTGCTCCTCAGAACCAGCCAGAACACGTCCACACAGCTCATTGCTCTCTGGGAAATTTGGGCTGGGCTGGGTCTCGGAGAGCGAGGCAAGAGCGGAGACCAGGGTCTGGAGAGGGATTCCCTACTAGGCTGAAGCAGGTCGGCAGGAGTGCAGGGCTCGAGGAGACAGCGTTGTACCCACGCAGGTCGCTCGAGAGCAGCAGCGCGGAGCCCGAGCGCTCCTGGGGAAGAAGGGGTTAAGAGCCCCGGACTGCGAGCAAGGCCAAAGCTACTGGGAAAGAATATCGGAAGGGGGAAAAAACTGGTTATTTTCCCCCTCTCCCTCCAGCCTCTGGACCTTATTGAATGTCATTGAAGAAAGTTTTGAATGCCAGATAAAGAGAGGCGAATTAAAGTGTGTGACAGCGGAGGATAAGCAAACACAAAGAGAACTCTGTCACACTTTGGGGCAAAATCCGTGGGCTTTTTACCAAGTCTCTTCGCTATGATTGAATTAAGTAATAGGAAAACATTTTCTTTCAGTTTAGAGCCCCTAGACAAAAACTTCAAAGCGAATAACACTTTTTAATGTGCGACCCCACAATGGATCGGGTTTTGTGCTGAAATGTTTAAATGGTTTGTTGTGCAACTCGGCGCGGGAGAGACACAGGCCTGAGCAAAACAGCAACCCTGAGTGTTTTCCGGCTGCCCGCGATGAAGGCGCGCTTGATCCGTCCTCGCTGAGCTCGGCGGGGCGGGCTGTGGCCGGGAAGGGGTCTCCCCGCTCAGCGGCGTCACGGAGCGGCCCGGCGTACCCAGAAGCGTGGTCTTCTCGAGAAGGAAATCCTGCGCGACCACAGAAAAGGATCCTTAGCCTCCAGTGGCTCCGCAGGCCCAGGGCCCGAGGCAGGTGCTGAGGCCCGGGTGGGCGGCGGGGAGCTGGGGCCGCCCTCCGCCTGGTTTCCGGGGGCCACTCCCCGCGTTTTCTGGGTCGGCCACGCTGCTTTTCAGTTCAAATCGTCTCCCAGGGCTCGCTTCAGTCGGGTTTGAACTTTACTCCCCAGCAAACGCTCACCAGGGCGGGGCGAGGTGGGAGGAGGCAGTGGGATTAGTTTGACAGCCCGGAGAGAGGGCCCCCAGGCAGCTCCCCGGCCTGCCGGCAGGCTCTATCCGCCCCCCAGCTGGTTTTCAAGTGTCCATCAGGGATAGTTCAACATAGAATACTTTATGTTGTCCCAGGCTTTTCTTCTCCTTTCATACTGCGTTCTTCTGCTATTGGTAGTGAGAACACACCATTCTTCTCCTAGAATTGGGTCTAAGAGACTTGGAGCAAAAATTGCCCAGATTCGGGTGGCGTCGCAGTGATGAGATCTAATTCCCTGACTTCCTTGGCATCTTTCTTCAAATGCCACTTTCCCTTCCTTCTCAAAGAGGCCAATGGCTGTATTTAGAAACCCCCTCCCCCACAACATGCCCTGTCTGCCTGGTTCCTCGTTTTATAAGGACCTTTTAAATTTAAGTGCTCATTTATTTTTCTATTTCTCTCCCCACCTCTGAAATACATATTCTATGAAACCCAGGGTTTGTGTTTATCTTGAATATTGTTTTGTGCCAAATTAGAAAAGTTCCTGGCACATAAGGTGGGCACTAAGAGCTGACTCAGGAGCCGCATAGCTAGGATTTCTTCCTGATGTGTCTGCTTAGTATACCCCAGATACTGAGGAGCTGGCATCCAGGAACTGGCCAGATGAGACCCTGAACGTCAAGGGAGATCTAAATTTCTCCAAGTCTCTCCTCATCTCTAGTGCCCAGAACATCAGAGGTGCTCCATGTTTGTTGACTGGATAGCAAATAGGTAAGCCATAATCTGTGAGTCCCCAGCCATGGGAAGTGCTCATGAAGACAAGATAGTCCCATTCAAGGCCATTGTAGAGTCCTGCCCTGCAGAATTTGGATGAACCCATTGGTAGTTCAAGGCTAGGCATTGTCATTAAGGAGCCTTTCATGATGAATAAGAGGAGTTGGGAAAGGGAAGAGATGTGGCATATGTACTAAGATCATCAGCAACTATTTCTGCTTTTTTCTATCCTAAAAGAAATAGAGTGGAAACTCTCATTGCACAGCACAGAACTGCTTCTTTGACCAGAGACAGACCATAGAAGAACAAACAGCCTATGAGCACATTTACTGAATTATTGAACGAACGAAGGTAGGGAAAGAGGTAAGGAGGAAGATTGTATTAGTTCACATGATAGATGATGAGTACCTGAATTGTGAAGACAACAGGAATAGAAAAAAAAAAAGAAAGAAATACCGAGAGAACTCAAAAAATGGGTAGGACCAATCAGGGATGTCTATGTGTACAAGCACAGGTGTGCAAGCCTTAGAGGGCAAGGCATGAAAGATAGAGGGAACAAACACACTCATGACCACCTGATGGCTTGTTTGAAAAGATGGGTGGTTGGTGATATCAGAGGCAGAGACCGAACTTAGGGGTAAGACTACTTTTGCTTTTGTTGTACAAAATGTGGTTTTATTTGAGTTCATCACATTGTAATCTTTAACCTTCCAACATTCGATATCCTAGAGGTAAATGATAATAGGAGTCTAGAGTTGAGTAGAGAGATTGGAGATGGAAAGAGTAGCTCATCTGTGTGCAAAAATGATAGTATTAGTCTAAAGTTGGGTGGAATGATTATTAAAAGGGAGCGCAGAGAAAAACCAGAGGATTGTAGATGTATCCCTGGGAAATACCCATATTTAAGGAGACAAGTAGAAGGGGAGACTCCCTGCAAGATGAATAGGTCAACCAGATATAGAAAGAGAAATGACCAAGGTGGGATAAAATGGAAAGTGAAGAGATGTGCCAGAGCAGTGCACCCAGGTAGGCCTACCAGGCTTAGCAAATAAAACACAGGCTACATGATGGCTCCGAGAGATGTGGCTCAGTGGTAGAGCACTTGCTTAGCAGGAGAGAAGCCCTGGGTTCAATCCCTAATACCACAATATGCATAAATAAATAAACCTAGTGAAGTTAAATTTTCTAATGATCAATGGAAATTTTTAGTATGACTATGTCCAAATATAGTGTGAATGTTTAGAACATGCTTATACTCAAAATGATTTCTTGTTTACCTGAAACTCAAAGTTACTTGGTGCCCTGTGTTTTTTTTATCTAGTTGCTTTATTGCCAGATCACTGTGAAATGGCCCATACTCCAGAGTTTATCAGTATATGACCTCTCTAGACATGAAGAGACTGAGGCTTGGGGGAGAGAGTGACTTGTCTAAGACCAAATAGCTTGTGAGTGACTGATTTAGTGTAGGTTTTATGAATGAAGGCAAGGCCCTTTCTCCAGTACACATGTGTCATGTGATGATGGCATTTGATTGGGGTTAAGTCTCAGCACTGGAAATAGAGAGCAAAGGAACCCTAGTAAAATGGTTATTGTGGGCTGTTCTGAGAACTGCAAGCCCCTTAGCAAGCAGCATCGCTTTAGTGGGGGGTCCCATATTTGGTCCCTGGCCAAAAGGAGGAGAAGGAGTAGAGTTTATCTTAGATTACATGATTATTATTTGCAAATGAAGGTATGGGGAGGCTGGAAAAGAGATTCCATTTAAAAATATTTCCTTCTAGTTTAAAAAAATAATTTAAGAAAAAAATTAAAATTGTAGTAAATATACAACATAACACTCACCATCTTAATCATTTATAAGCACACACAGTAAAGTTGTGCTAAGTATATTCACATTGCTGTGCAATAGATCTTCAGAATTTATTTATCTTGCAAAATTGGGTAAGTGTACTCAACCTGTTGTAAAGTTGGGATGGCATGTTATCTCTCTTGAAAAGATGAGAGGTAATGCATGTGTAAGTGAATGCTCCAGGTTTTCAAGTAAATGGGTACAGGTAAAGATAGTATTAGTAGCTCAGAGTTTCTAAGCATGCAGGACCTTTAGCCTACTTGTAAAATATTTTTATTTCCTATATGGTTTTCTGGGAGTCCTTCAGTGTTGCCTAGGAGAAACCACTAGCTGGTCTGTTGTGCAGCACTCATTTGATACTCTTGCACTCTGAGCCCGTGTGCTCAGCCTGGGGTTGATCTGTAGCATCTGTTTACATCTTGTTTTGTGCATCACTATTTATTCCTCATGCACTGTAACATCCTGAGCATACTGTCCAAGATGCAGTACACCCTCTGTACTTGCAAGCTGGGACTGACTTCATTTCTAGTGACAGAATGCAGAAATGTTGCAGAGGCCTCCTCTGAGCTTGGGCTTTCCAACTGGAGATGCCCAACCCAAGCATTTTCCTTTTCCCTCCTGCCTTGACCTCACCTGAAGTAAAGACCACTTCTGAATTCTCCTATCAGGGACATTTGAGAATGAGAATGGAACACCCTACTGTGGATTTCAGTATGAAAAGTTTAGAGATTTCAAGAAGAAGGAAGCATGGTAGGGTTGAAACAGACAGAGGGGTCTCACAGAGATGAGGGAACATCTCACCTGGAAGTCTAGCATCCCTGTCCGCTTCATCTGGGTGACACTGCCTGAAGCCAGGAGGTGGGGCTTATTATAAGGAAGCTTGATTTTGAGACTTTCCAAATGTTCCCCATCTTCTCTTTTTTCTCTCTTCGCAGAAGCCTGCAGCTCAGGGATCAGCCAGGTGGCAGCATACAGCAATAAACTCACAGACACCATCTGCAGACATCCTTTGGCCATTCAGTTCTCTCTAGCAAAAATTTCCCCCACTCTATCATATCAAACCCAGCCACATCCTCTCCCCAGACTCTCATGCTCTGAATACTTTTAGTGCAAAGTCACCTAAGGTGGCAGCTGAACACTTAAGGCTGAAATGCTGTGATATGTCATTCAGAATTGATTAGAGTGGATAGGTTTAAAAGTCCTGGGAGGGCTGGGAAATTGCTCAGTAGTAGAACCCTTGCCCAGCATATGTGAGGATCTGGGATGGATCCTTAGCACTATAGTGCAATAAAAAATAAAATAAAATAAAGGTCTGGGAGATTCTGTTTTCACAATCCCTCTCCTTACCCCTGCCCTCAATGCACATGGCCAAGCTCTCAATCTGTTGAGCACACACTGGGAACTGCCTGTAAATTCTCTCAAATTTACTTTTCTATCTTTCAGCCCTTAGAGTAAATCTGCTAATCCTACCAGGAATTTCACTCCTCATTATTGTGCTCTGGTACTGACACCATATGTGATGACAGTGGACTTCTATGGAGCAAACACTGCCTCCCTCATCCCCAGCTCCAACCTAAGACATCACTGATGGGGAAGTTTGTAAGATTATCCGTTTTAGCTTTCCAGATCCATTTCCTGATTTTTGATTCTGTGTTGGATGTAAAGACTTGCTCTATACTTGGTGTTCATAGGTCTGAGTTCTGGTGTAAGTAACTGCAGCAAGCTGGTTTCTGATTGGAGGACTGTCTGTGGATTTCTTTATTACTACTAGCACTTCAGGGAGACAGTGGCAGACACTGGTGCCTCACCTGTCAATATTTCTTTTGGTTGCAATTGGAGAGAATAATTTTGAAAATATTTTAAAACCAAGTTGATTAGATCACTAAGCCAAAATCGTCCTAAACTATATTTGACCAACAAAATACAGATTTTAGATTCCTAACCAGTAGCTCATTCTATTGTTAAATATGTTTTATTCTGCCTTATTACAAAGTCTGAAGAAAGGAGCTTTTTTGAGTTTCTCAATTATTTGTTGAGAAAGATTTATAAAGTGGTATTCATCCCAGCATTTGGGAGGCTGAAGCCTTCTCTTATGCTTGATCTGAGTCTTGCCGTCAAGGGAGTCTCAGACATGGAAGTTTCACTTTCCACCCTTTGTAGTACAGAAGACATCATCCAAGTTCTCTTGCTGTCTTATCAGGATGGATAGCAATGGCTATCACTTGTAGAGCTTCCACATTATCTGAGAACTGTGATGGATAGGTAATATATATTTTGTGAATGCAGACACCTGTAAGGTAAATACTATTTAACTTATTTCAGAGAAGCATACACAGAGATTTAGTGAATGCCCAGGGCCATGGATCCCATAGATTTCTGAGCCATATTCAAACTTGGGTCTGCCTGGCTTGATAGCCTGGCTTGCAGAGCAGCACAGCCAGGGCAGTCTGTGCAATCAGGGGGAAACTTCATTTCCACAGGGATTCAGAGCAGGGCTGTCACTGTCCTGGGGCAAGGAGGAGCCTCTCAGAAGGGAAGCTTGACTGGGTTCTTCAGGAAGTGTGGGGTTTTAGTTATGGGGTACAACTGTCTGAATGAGGTTGGAAAGAGAGAGAAGCTGTAAAACATAGGGTGAGTCCAGGTAAGAAGTCTGTATTAGGGATATAAGTGAGATTCTGTGGGGATAGAGGGATATGACATAGCATAAAGGGTGCTGAGTTTCAGAATTAGACTTGGTTCTACAAATAGTGGAGAGAAAACCAGATTATTATTATATATCCCTTGTTCTTTTCTTTTTCCCTTACACTTATTTTTCAACCCAGAAAATTCCTGGGGAAAAGAGCAGCTCATTGCTTTTCCAGCCAGGGAATTCAGGGAGGGGACATGGCCACTGTTCAGCCACTCACAGCCTGTCTCTGAAGGCCAGGGAGGCAGCCTCGCCCCCAAATTCTCCAGCACAGGACCAGCAGAAGAAAGGCGTTAGCATAAAATGGAGAGAGAGCATCGAATATACCTCACATTAGCAGACAATATTGCCTTGATTGCAGACAACACACATGAATTGAATTGATAAAGGAATCTTCCCATCAAAGCCAGAAATGAGTGGAAATTAACTTTAACAAAGTAAGCAACTGGAGAGACAGGCAGAAGAAACCCACCGCATACTTTGTGCCTGTCAGAGATGCACAGGAGCAAAGTGTTCAGGCCCATCAGTGAGTGCAAGGTGATTAATAAACACTTACGGGGACATTCATCTGACAGGCAAGTGACAAAGCCCACAATGATGGGGAGAAGGGGCATTTCTTCTTGATAGATGTATCTGAAATGCTCATTTACTCCTTTTTGATGGATTTAAATGTCCAGGTATTCTTTCTCCATAGAAATTGATTTGGAAATGGTGCTAGGTTAAAATTAAGGGCTTGGGACTTAACTACGTCGATGTGGGAGAAAATGTTCTCATCCCAGTCATCAATGCATAGATTGAAATGTGCTGGAGATTAACAGAAGCTTGGGGGGGGGGCTGGTACTTGTTCCTTTTAGAGTATAAAGTGAGAGAAAGACTGGTATAAAATCATTTTGCCTGAAATTCTGTAAATAGCATTAGTGGCTGAATACTATACAAACCTTTTTCTCTCCAGTCTGAAACAGTTTTAAAATTATCTATTGGAAAGCAGTTCTCAAAGAACAGACTTAAATTTGAAATGACATTTGCACTGCCAGAATTTTCCAATAGGGGAAGCATAATTGTACCCACAGAAGATGAGTTGATGTGGTTCCCAGGGGCAGGGAAGCTCATTATTTCAGTTTGTCCATCTCTTCTACTTTCCAAATAGCAAGGTAAGATGTGTTTTGCTGGTGGAAGTACCCAGAATGGGACCACTGTTCCTTTCTCTTTGCCTGTGAAACTCAGCCCCAAGCTGACTCCACTTGAAATTTTCCTGGCCTACGGCCCCTAGGAAAGGTTTGTTACAGTCTAAACAAGAGGGAATGGTGCCAGTCCTCTGGATGTTGAATGCTCCTAAGGGGTATAGGTGGGAGCCTTGTGGGTGTCGTGGCGTGATGCTACATAATGTTTCCCCAAGTCCGAATGTCCTGGAACCCTGTAAAGACGCCCAATGTGCTGAGACCCTCACCCAGCCCTTGCATGGGGCTCCAGTAATGTGAAGGTGCCATGAAAATTTAAAAAGCATGATTTGCAATTTCTAAAATCATCAAAATAATCATCATGGAAAAATGTGAGAAATACATTGGAATGTCATGAATTCCTTTACATGGCGGCTTACTATTGTTCTTATTTTGGTATTCCTGTAGAGGTAAGTGACCCAAAAGATATTCAGTGTGGTTACATAAAGATCCCTAGACTGCTAAATCATGGGGAGATTTTCCAGTCCCATGGCCAGGTGTGGCTATTAAGAATGACAAGGTCCAGGGTATTGGGGCTCCAGGAATGGCAGCCCTCTGTGAGCCTGTGAACCTGCCAATTCTCTGGCATCATACCCAAGGACCACAATATGGTACTCAGTTCTTGCAAAGATGAGATGAGGAAGAACTGGAATGTCCACAAGACAGGACAAAGGATTCTAGAAGCTGTCCATAGGGAAGCGGGAGGGGATAAGGCCCAGAAATCACCATGGGCCCTACGGGTGCCATTGCTTGTGGTGACCATCTATCACACAGAGCAGAATCTTTCTAATTATTTTTCCCATGAATCTGGGATTCTAGATTTGCAAGCATGATTTTATCATTTTAGTAGAAAGTTTCTACCATATGCAGAGGTAGAGTTTATACCCCTTTATACTTATTACTCAGCTTCAACACTTATTGGTCCATGGCCAGTTTTGTCTCCTGTATTTCTGCCATTTACCTATCATCCACAAGACTACGTGAAGAGTATGTGTGTGTACCACTCCTCAGGGTGAATATGATCACTATGTTCTACAAATGTGGACTAAGAAATATTTTTAAAAAGATTATAGGAAGAGATATTCTTAATGTGAATTTTTATTTACTTTTAATAATGTTTTCAAATAAAATAAATCTTCTTATTAAAAATAATACCTTGGTTTGTATTATTCCAATCCTTTTTCCCTATATAAATTATTATTATTATTATTTTTTTTGGTACTGGGGATCGAACTCAGGTCCTTGTGCTTGTGAGGCAGGCACTGGAACCACTGAGCTAAATCCCTGGCCCCAAATTAATTTTTGTATGTGAAAATGGACAGTCTATTTATTGGGATTTGATTTTCCCCTTTTAAAATACTACTTTTCTTCATTAACATATAATTAGGCTAAACAACAATTTAATTACCCAAAGTTAGTTTTGTTGTATAGAAACACCACCATTTAACATATTGCCTGTTACTGGACATTTAGATATGTTTTCAATTATTTAATATTGTAAAAAATGAAACACTAGCTGGGTGTAGTGCACTCCTGTAACCCCAGCACTCAGGAGGCAGAGGCAGGAGGATCGCTGTGAGTTTGAGGCCAGCCTGGGTACATAGTGAGTTCAAAGCCAGACTGACCTAAATAGTAAGTAAGACCTTGTCTCAAAAAAGAAAAGAAAAGAAAAACTTCAAAAACATTCTTTCAGCAATGTTTTATCCACATGGTTATTAATTTTGTTAGAATAATTCCTAGAACTGAAATTGCCATGTTAAAGCAGACACATATTTCTTATTTATTTATTTATTTATTTTAGATACATATTTCAAAAGCTGTCAATATACACTGCTACAACATTTATTCCAATTTATATCCCTACCATTAGGGGTTGAGGATTTCAGATTTCCTATTTTACCTTTTTTGTTTTCTTTTTTTGATACTGGGGATTGAACTCAGGTCCTTGCACTTGCAAGGCAGGCCACCAAACCACTTAGCTAAATCCCCGGCCCTATTCTTGTTCTCTATTTTACCTTTTTTTTTGGATTTCCTAAGTCTACAACAGTATTGATTATTACAGCTTTGTCCTATTTTTGATGAAATAAAAATAATAAATGATATTACTTTCAGCC